AGAGCTAACAGCCATTCTGGCGCCCTCTTATGGCCGATTGAGGAAAACAGCAACCAATCACATTTTACAGTATAATTTAAAGAAACAGGTATAGCATTGTTACGTGATTTATATATTGCCAAACCAACTGTTAGATTATATTCCTAACAATTGTGATTTATGTTTTCTCAGGAAGCCTAGGTCAGAACAACTATTGTGTTTTATCAACCCTGGCTGTGTGAACCCAGGCAGATTGTCTCTGCTGTTCTCCCTCCTCCTGCTCAGATGCTCAATATTCTTACATTAGATCTGATGTAGGTTCTATGCCCTCACCATGGTCTTAATGATCCCACGAAGGGTGCCTCCCTTGATGTACTCTGTGATGAAGTTCAGCCTCTTGTCTTTATAGAGGACCCCAATGAACCTCAGCACATTGGGGTGTTCCAGGCAGCGCATTACTTTCACCTAAGGAACAAAACCACAGGACAGTTAATTCTGCATTCCTCAAAATCACTTGTTGACCGAAAACTGCATACAACATTAGGAAAAAATTGTCAATTTTGTAAAATATTGGGCTACTACCTGCTTGTCTGTAAGCCCTGAAGCAACTACCTAAACGTTGGGGACTTCACAAAATGAAAGATTTTGGCAAATATTATGGAGGAACAGCTTTTCATAGAATATAATAGAACAGTATATGCTCCATATGAAACTTAAATGGGAAATCTTTGCTTGCAGTGCAAAAACAGTAGGGATCACCAAATTCAAAAATTTCAGCAATGGGTTCTCTGCCTGGTTGCTGGGTGGGTATGGCCATAGTGGGCGTACCTTATTTGGCCTCCTGAATCATGGCAGAGGGGGCATTTTCACCATCCCCAGGCTCCAGAGGCTTTCCTCCTAACCTCTGGGAGGGAGAAAACTGCTTCCCCTGGGCTCCTGAGGCCCTCCGGAGGCCAGAAATGGGCCCATTTCCAGCCTTCTGGAACTTCCAGAAAGCCTGTTTCCTACCCCTTCTCAAGCCTCTGCGCGGGCCCTGTACTTACCTCCAAAACGGGCTGTGTGGAGACTCCTGGGAGGGGAGGGGCAGGAGGGGCGGAGTGGGAGGCACCAGCCAGGGGTGGGATTTGGAGGTTCTCTGAACTGGCCATAATGTTAGCTACGGGTTCTCTCAAACCCAGGCGAACCCATAGCAGCCACCCCTGGATCACCATATACATTTAAAGAAGAGGCACACAAATTTAAATTAGGTAACATTTGATGTGGGGAGTAAAAAACAAAAACTGAAATGATACTAATAGAAAATCAACAGAAAGGAAACTTCTCTCGCCACTGGACTAAGCTGGAGTAACCAACCTCTTTAAGGAACGTTCTTTGGGTCTCCTCATCAAAACGGATAAGTTCCTTCATGGCCATCACTTCTCCAGTCTCCCGGTGGGTCACCTAATGAATAAAGCAGATGGCCTTTAGGACTTTCTTAGAGGAGGAAAAATTTAGAATCATACAGTTAACAAGGGATCTTAAGGGCCAGTGTAATGGGCTGTAAAAATAACCTTGAGAGAAGGAAGAAGAGTCGCAATTGTCTGATAAATGAAATACAAGTCCAATGCAGAAATGTAATTTGAAGAAGTGTAAGAGAATTGATTCGCCCTACTGCTCTCTAAGATAAAGGCTGGAAGGGGAGGCACACTGTGGGTTACCTTAGAACAGGGGGCTCCAACATTGGGAACTTTAAGACTTGTGGATATCAACTCCCATAATTCCTCAGCCAGCAAAGCTTTTTAGTTGAAATCTGTAAGTTTTAAAGTTGCCAAGGTTGGAGACCCCTGTCTTAAAAGACTCTAGTTTTTAGTATATGCATAGACCAATTTTCATTTTCAATTTTCTTGTTGTTGTTAGTTGCGACCCATTGTGACCCCGTGGACAATGTTCCTCCAGGCCTCTACCATCCTCTGGAGTCCATTTAAGCTCATGCTTACTGCTTCAGTGACTCCATCCAGCCACCTCATTCTCTGTTGTCCCATTCTTCTTCTGGCCTCAATCTTTCCCAGCATCAAACTCTTCTCCAGTCAGTCCTTCCTTCTCATTAGGTGGCCAAAGTATTTGAGTTTCCTCTTCAGGATCTGGCCTTCTAAAGAGCAGTCAGGGTTGATCCCCTCTAGTACTGACTGGTTTGATTGCCTTGCAGTCCAAGGGACTTGTAGGAGTCTTCTCCAGCACCAGAGTTCAAAAGGCCTCAATTCTTTGGCACTCAGCCTTTCTTATGGTCTAACTTTCACAGCCATACATTGCAACTGGGAAAACCATAGCCTTAACTATACACACTTTGGTTGGCAGGGTGATGACTTTGCTTTTTAGTATGCTGTCTAGATTTGCCATAGCTTTCTTCCCCAGGAGCAAGAGCTTTTAATTTTTTGGCTGCAATCATTTTTCTAGGATAAACTAAAATAATGCAATTATGTTCATGGATCTGCTAGTCCAATCTCCTCCTCAGTCAGATTTTTAGAGTCTGAATCACTGAACAATGACTGTGCAACACAGAAATTCTGCTCATGGGTGGCAAGTGCAATCAATCCTCAACCCACTGAGTAAACTAGGCTATATGTTTCTCTTTCCAGTGCCAGAATATCAGGCTCTTGGGCAGAGACAATCCATTTATATTGTTCAGTTTGCCCCATTTCAAATGCTTGGTATGTAATTCAAAAGAATATCATTATCTGAAAATTTTAGCTTTTGTCACACAATCATATTTATACAGTCTACCACTTTTCCCCAAAACTTTGTAAGTAAAGGGCATTGTATAAAATCTATCCTTAATACACCCCCAGCAAAATGCTGTCCTGATATCATGCCTGTACCTTAATGGCCTGCCCGAAGCAGCCCTTGCCCAACACCTCGCCATGGATGAGATCCGAGGGGCGGAAGATGCGATGAAGACGGGAGACAACACGCAGTGATTCTGAGCGACCAATATCTTTCCTCTGGGAGGAGGGGGAGCCCAGAGAGCTGGAACAAGGTGACTTGTCAATGCTACAGCTCCTCCTGTGCAGAAGAAGAGAAAGGTTCTTCTCAGGTGTACATCAGGCATGCTCTTCTCACAAAAGACCAATTTCCAGGTGCCTCCAGATCATTTTTTCGCAGTTCAGGGAGAAACTGGAAGACTTTCATCTTGAGCAACTTCCCGTTTGCCCTTAATTCCAGCATAATTTGGACACAGCTTGCAATTTACCCTCACCTCATTTAGATTGGTAAAACAGTACAGAATGGCCCCTTTCAAAGGAGTAGAACCTGTGCCTCTGTTAAGGGTGGGCAACCAGATGTTTTGCTGCTGCTGTTGTTCAGGAACCTTATTCCTGATGTTCTGCTGCTCAATGGCTTTCAACAAGGCACACACCTCTTGGGCTCACAGGCTCCCCCGTTTCCTCCAGCATGGAATCACTTACCTTATCAGAGGTGGTATTCAGCCGGTTCAGACTGGTTTGGGCAAACCAGTAGCAGTGACCTGCGGATGGGGGTGCCTTCCCTGCTCCTGCCCACCTGCCCTGGCTCTATGCCGTTATATTTAGCCACATTTTCAAAGCTGCACACATGTATATGAGCAAAGCACGTGTGCGGAAGGTGCGCACGCTCACTAAGTGAGCGTGCGCATGGGTGGAAAACTGGTGGTAAACTTCTGTGAAACCCACCTCTGTACCTTATCTAAAGAAATCAGTTTGCTGCAGAGTCCAAATCATAATAAATTGCAGGGTCCAATGTGGATTGGTCACCAGGACCAGAAATTTAGTCTTCTGAGCTTTCAGACTCACGCTGGAGCCCATCCTCAGGGAACTTCTCTCTCACCTGGAATGTGTGTGAGAGAAAGTGTGTCTCACATTCTGGAGAGAGAGAAGTTCCCTGAGGATGGGCTCCAGCATGAGTTTGAAAGCTTGGAAGACTAAATCTCTGGTCCGCCTGACTGACCCAGATTGGATCCTGCAACATTATCCTGGGACATGTATATTCGCCTTCATTCACACCAAGACAAAGACAAACTGGTTACCACCAACAATAAGTTCTAGAAACAAGCCAGTTGACCTCTTTTCAATTTCCAGAATTAAATTTACATCAATTTATTAAATTGAGCTAGAATGATTTCAAGATAAACACTTCTACCACAGGTATTTAACAGAGGCTCATGGGATTCTCCCGAATCCAATAGCCAGTTGGGAGGCAAAGACAAAATGGCAATGCTTCTACGCCAGGCATGGAGTAGTGTTATGGAATAGGTTGCAATAAAAGTAAGAATGAAATGGCAACTTTAAAAAACAACTCCAATATTTTGATAGTTACAAAGGTTCCTCTCCTTGCCTTAAGGGGAACACCGGTTACAACTGCACACCAACACATAGTAACCACATTTGATAAAGCGACAGAACTCTTGAGATCAGTGGAGTCCTTGGTGCTCTTTGAGCTCAGTTGCAGTCATTTCCTTACCCAACTAGAAAACAAGTCTAGTGACGCTGACTAATTGAGTAATGAAATGGCTGCAAGCAAACAGCCAACTCAGAGAGCACCAAGGACTACACAATTCATTCCTGAGCTTAAATATCAGAGGTGTCAAACTCAAGGCCCAAGGGCCGGATCTGGCCCACAGTGTGCTTAGATCTGGCCCACAGGGCTGCCCTAGAAAATGCAAAGGACCAGCTCCTGATGATTCTGCCAGCAAAAACAGGCTCCCAACAAACTCCGTTTTCAGCTATGCCGGCCTCCTGCTGCCCTCTGCTAGAAAAAACACAACACGGACCACAAGTCTCCCCCCCCACAAGTTCCGTTTTCACTGGCAGAGGATCGCAAGAGGCCGATATGGCTGAAAACAAAGCTTGGACCACCACAGACACCTCCGACATGAGTGACATCAAGCTGCCCATGCCCATCCTTGCCCAGAGATCAAACACAACCCTGATGCGGCCCTCAATAAAATCAAGTTTGACACCCTTGTAATATATTCTCTTCTACTCTTGAGATCTACTGAGCTCTAGCAGAGTATAACTAATTCACAAATTTAAAATATCTTTACTCAAGTTTCTCTTTACTCAAAACATCTTTACTCAAGAATTTCTAGAAAATGCAAGCACGCAAAGGAGCCTACAAGGAGGAATCTGACATACTTTGGAAAAACACATTTCCTAGGGTGTGTTGCTGAACAGATGGAATTGTAAATTATTAAGCAGAGAGGGACAGTGTATGAATAATACACCTATCCCGTTGCCTTAGCAGTTGTATCAGAAATACACTGAATTCAGTTAGTCTTGGTAGGGTTTTTTTGTGGCAAAAAGTGTTATATACCCCCAGTCCATTTAATTCCTTTCAGTCTAGAATATTGCATTAGCCTAGGAAATAAGTTAATTCAGTAAATATATAAAAGGCAATGTGTAAATAAAACCAGCGTGAGATTGGAAAATAGAAATGGAAGTTGGCCAAGAAGGGGCCATCTTTGTTTTTGCCAGGGATTCTACTCATTTCTGCCTGCCTCTACATTTATAATTTCAAGGCCACCTTCCTCAACCTGATACTTTGTAGGCTGCCAACCTGGCTGGGGATTTTGTGGACTCTAAGTTCCTTCCCAACACAATCTTCAGGGCATTAGGCTAGGGAAGAGTGCACTACCCTGTTTCCCTGAAAATAAGATCTCCTCGGATAATAAGCCTAATCGGGCTTTTGAGCGCATGCGCTAAAATAAGCCCTCTCCCCAAAATAAGCCTTCCCTAGAAATATTGCAACACAGCAGCAGCCATGAGGTGACCACGCTCACTGCCTCCTGCATCTCAAAAATAAGAATTCCCCCAAAATAAGGCCAAGTACTTATTTCGGGGGTCAAAAGAAAATAAGACCCTGTCTTATTTTTGGGAAAACACACAGGGGTGAGTTCCTACCTGCGTTGGTACTGGTTTGCTTTGCGCACGCCAAACATGTGCTGCGCACACATGCAAATTGTTCTGCACATGCGCAAAATATCATGAAAAATTAAGAAAAACCATGCCGGCAACGGCAGCGGAGACCAGGGAGCTGGTTCGTGGGGGTGGCCAGCTTGGGTCGCTGTCGATTCTGTGACCCAGGCCAAATTACCATCACCAGTTTGCTCGAACTGGTGCAAACCGGTAGAAACCCACCTCTGGAAACACGGTAGCTATTTTTTAGTTGCATTTCTATAGCATGAGAGCAAAAATGTTTCTCCAGAGGAGGGAAGGGGAGTCTACTTCAGAGAGCCACATTCTACTCGATCCTTACATGACAGTGCGCTGGCGAATGGCTGAAGGGTCTGGGCAAGGTGTGTGGCTGGGCGAATGGAGGGGACTGCGCAGTTCTGAAAGAGGGCTGCTTTCAATGATCTCATGAGGATCGTGTTCAATGGTTAGCTGCAGTAGGCGACTGGTCTCTTGGATCAGAAGATCGATCTATGGAGATAGAGAAGGCAGGCTGAGAAGAGAGGCAATGCATCCTGACAGGCACGGGGCCACATTGTGGAGAGGATGATTGAGTCAGTACTAACAAAAAATATCACCTCATCCAGCGGGACGTGATGGATTGGTGTGCCATTGATTTCCAGAATGCGGTCACCAACATGGATGGAATTCTTCATATCGGGGCTTATGCAGCCTGGGTCTAATCTGAGAATACAGAAGGGGGCAGCAAAGGAGACAAGTTACTTTGTTCTGGCATATATCTCCCAAACTAAGCCTCAGGAAAGTGATAGCATGCTCTGAAAACTTGAGGAGAGGGATCAAAGCACTTAGATTCCATCACCCTCCTCTTACAATCAATCAACATGGTATAGACCCACATTCTTCAGCCAGATGTCCTCCAGATGTGTTGGGACTGCAACTCCTAAGTTTAAGACTTCTAGGCATTGCCGTCAACACATATAGAAAAGGAGTTGTGAAATGAACAGAACTTATTAAACAATTCCACCTCCAGAATAAAAACAGGTTTTTACTTTGTCAGTTGCCCTTCTTTTCTGAATTCCATACTGAAATTCTCATGATATTCTGCAGATACGTAGTTCGATTCTATCAGATATCACCACACGTTCCCTGAAAATATACAATTATCTGACACCAAGAGTCATAGACAATTGTGTTTGACAAATAATTGAGTGGTTCCTTATTTCACAGTTATTTCCATGTAACACTCTTGAGATGTTCATGGTATTGGATAGACAGCTTGCAAACGTATGATTTGAATTATATACTGATTGGTAACATACAATGAAAACTGATATTTGATATTTGTCAATTTGGACAATTCTTATTTAAAGCCTACCCCAAACCAAAAGTATATGCCAACAAGACTCAGAATAGGTGGATGCAAAAAAGAAAGGCCTCAGATGTCAAAATGTTAAAAAATCTATATTTGTAATGCCTAACTGTTGTAAATATCATTCGGAACACTCCAGAGCAGGGGTCTCCAACCTTGGCTTCTTTAAGACTTGTGGACTTCAACTTCCAGAATTCCTCAACCAGCTTGCTGGCTGAGGAATTCTGGGACTTGAAGTCCACAAGTCTTAAAGTGGCCAAGGTTGGAGATCCATGCTCCAGAGGCCTGATATGGAAGGTTAACAATTTCTGAAGAACATTTCCTAATGGCTGCTGGCAGTCTATACTCACTCACGAACGCGCACAGTATGTGGGTGCTCAGAACCTCCATGCTTGTCAATGGAGATGGAAAGCCCTCGCTTGCTTTCGGAACATGCCGGAATAGACACCAGGGTGACAGTGTGTGGAATCCGGGTGCCAGGAGATTCTGGAAGCAGCTGATCCATCACGGGTGTAACCACCATCTGGTAATAACAGTGCCCACTGCAGCATGGAAGAAAAGGAACCACAAACTAGGACATCCATTTACAAACCTCAGGATGAAAGAGCCCAAGGCTACCACTAGAAACTGACAGAAGAATGTTTTAGAAGCTTGCTGAGAAACACGAATCTGTCTTCTCTGAAGGAGGTAACCCTCCAAAAACAGAAAAGAAAGAAACGAATAAGAATAATCATTCTTTTTTTTCTTTTCTATTTTCTTTTCTATTTTTCTGCATATCCCTTCTTTCTGAGCTTCGTTTGTTTATAATTATTACTACCTGGTAACCCAGTGTTGCCAGGTATTTATTTATTCTTACCCTGTATTAGACAGGAAAAGAAATGAATTATAATCTATAGTGTCAAATCAATCTTCCTTACCAGCAGGAGCCTCCTTGTTTTTATTTTTTTTTAATTTGTTTGTTTTTAAGAGCCCCTTGTGGAGTACTGTAAGGCACAACAGGCTGTATCTTAACAGAACTTGAATCCAAAATGCACACTATCACTGTCAAAAGTAATGTGATTTGACACTATAGATATAATTCATTCCTTTTCATTTTAGCGGCCCAGGCGTTCCAGAGTTATGCTGGAACAAACCCACCCACAGACACACCCACACTAAGGAGTGTTAGGGGCATCTTACCCCCAATTTCGTTGAAATTGATGTATGTATGTATGTATGTATGTATGTATGTATGTATGTATGTATGTATGTATGTATTAGAACTTTCAAACTG